TTTTTTTTTTTTTTTGATTACAGACAAATTGCGTCTTCACTTTGAAAATTTTTCATTGCATGAAGCTTTTAAAGCTGTTATTTCCTCTTCCCAAACACTGTAAAATTCGCATATATCTATTAGAGTATATCTTTATACAGAATTCTTACTCTTCCAGAGTAGTAATGCCTAGCGGCCATTTAAGACGGTATCGCGAAATCGCTCCTTCTATTCCTACACCATCAAATATTGATCTAAATGGGACATATTCATGGCACAATTACTTAGAAGATACGGTTAATCCGCCATCTAAAAAACCTAGGGATGATATTTACTGTTCCGAAAATGTTGTTCCTGTAGATACGTTTTACCAGGCTCCTTTGGCTCAGCTAATGCAGTGTATTGATGCAAACGTCGAGGCAAGTTAGTTTCGTTATTATAATCTTCACTTATCCTTCGCTTTATTACTATAATCGGATGGCATTTCAAACAATACTGTTCAATTTTGAAACCCAGATATTGCTCCGTATGTTTTTTTCAAGACGTACGTGATTAATTTAAAGACCTTCTGTTACTTGTATTTGATTTTCTTCTATTAGTTGATATTTGTTCGGTAGTATTTTTTGGTTCAGTTGTGTTCCGCTTCTCGGCTATCTTTATGTTGGAAAATTGTTCATCATTTAGGTTGAGGTCAGACTGCGTGACGATTATTTAGGTAATATGGGGAAGGCGTTTACAAAACCTTTGTATTGGTTTGCTCGCGTCAAAAAGGTTTTGGTTGTTTTTTGTTTTTAAAGATATTGTTTTGGATATTAGAACGAAACTTTAAAGTCCTAAAATTCGTTTTATTTAAACTATACTTTGTCACTTCTGTTATGCACCTTCGTTAAACTAGCAATATTGGTCTGATCAGGTATGATACCCATCGTTTATTCACCATTTGGGTTCGATGACAATTGTAGGTGGCAGGTTATCGGCTGCTTTTAAGGTACGAAGGTATGGATCAAAGCGGTGACGAAGTAAATGATTTTTGGGTTCATATTGCTTCATCAGAGATTCAGCGAGTTGGTGGGGATTTCATATCTGTTTTCTTCTGATTTTTTAAGTTTATTTTTTTAAACGTTATTTAATTTTTTATGGACAAATAACCTTTTTTTTTTGCAAAACTAACGTCAGCTAAAAGTAGCTTTTTTGAATATGCCTCTTCAAAAGTATTCTTTATGTAGAAGAAACGTTCATTTGGCTGTAGTTTTAAATTAACGTTAAGCTTTATTAAGTTTTTAAGGCGCTTTTAAATCTCTTTAATCATAAAGGTTTTCGTTTACTTTCGTTAAAATTTCTTCTTTATTCTCTAGATTTTTAGGGTTCTGCTGTGATGAAGGTGAAGGCGTTTTAGTTCCGCCAGAAAGCATTGTTGATAGGCATTCCGATTGGAAGGAATACGTTCTCTGCAGCATTCACGGATTTCGCACTCTGCCATTACGCTGGGAGGAATACAGAGAAAAAAACATTGTGCGGTGCAAGTTCAAGGTCTGATTGTCTCAAGTCTTTTCTCGTCATACCTATTTCTCATTTTATTTCTTTGCTTTCACAGAAGGGAGAACGTGTGGAACTACTTGATGCTTTGGTATCAATGAGAGTCCGTCCCGCATTAATTGATGACATTATTGGTGATAGAGTTTTTGTGAAACTGAACAAGGCCGATCTGACTGGATGTGGTATATTTGGTGACGGGAAAGAAGAAGATGACCCTCAGGTTTATTTGCCACTCTTTTATTTTATCTTAAAGTTGTGTCATTTCTCCAAAAGTATAATCTGCCTCATTCAATCGTATCTTTTGACTTCAGATACTGGTGCCATTTTTGAACTTTTAAGTTTCCTCTCTTTGCTCCATCTAACTATCTATGAATTACTCTTATTCTTTCAGATCAGCGGAGTTTGGATGGATCAGGATTCTCCTCTTCTGTTCTACGTCGGTTGGAGTATCAAAGTTGGCTACACACTCTTAGCAAATGAAAGTTATGTGAAGCATGCAACGAATGTTGCTAATGCACTGAAAGCTGTTAGGTTTATTATCATTCTTCTCTTTGTAACCCAGTGGTTGCTTCTATCTTTCCTTCACTTTTGGTGGAAGACTGAATTTTGAAGTGTTCAAGGGAGACAGTACTTTGCCGCTTGCTGACTGTGATGCCGCCCCGAATCTTTTCAAGTTATATAAGGACAATATGGAAGATGACGATTGCAAGGGAAACACATTTACAGAGTGGAAAAAGGATATGAAGCTAGAAGTACTTGATCCTTTAGATAACTGGAAAGAACTGCGAGTCGGGACTGTAATGGAACTTTTAGATGATGGATATCTGAAGGTCAGTTCAGATTTTCATTTTTTTTTTCAAATTTTCTCTAAAGGTACTTTCTTAATGCGTATTTAGTGGAACTGTGATATTTCAGTGGTTTTTGCACTCGTATTTGCTTATACACATTTAGTGATTTTCTTCATTTTTTTCCAAATTTGCTTTGGTTTTTACACGTAGTGTTTTGATGGGCAAAAAGTTGTAGGGCAAAATGCTTTTATCTTTGAATTATCTAAATAAGAATTAACTTTTACTACGCTTACCAGTCTCTGATGTTAAATTTCTTTCTAATACTACTTATATTCGCAGATAGGGTTTGATGGCGGGGATATGGAGGAAGATACTGTCCCTCTACATTGTTCTTCACCGCTGCTTTTTCCTGCAGGATACGCTGAACGGTTTGGAATTAAACTGAAACATGCGAACATTGGTCAGTATTACATTACTTGAACTTTACTCAACACCTTTACATTGAGACAGACAAAAAATGTTGAATTTCTTTCTCTGCTCAGATAAATTCGAGTGGAAAACTTATCTTAAGAACCAGAAAGCTACTGCCGCTCCTGAGGGACTTTTTGAAAATATAGAAAAGTTAGAGGAGATCAACCATTTTCAGGTGATTTTCTAAACTTTCTTTTCGGCAATGGAAAGAGCTTTAAATTATATCTGGGAAATGGCTTTTTTTAAATACTTGTGATTTAATAGTGTTTGTCAACTACATTAAATGTTTAAGGTAGGTGCGAAGTTAGAAGCCGTGGATTTGTGTGAGCCGTTCCTCATCTGTGTTGCAACTGTTGTTGCACGCAAAGGTCGTCTTCTTAAAATAAAATATGACGGATGGGATGATTCTTACGATCAGTATTTCGACTTCCGGTTGGTTTTTAAATCAGTTCTCAATTGTTTTTTGAGTATTCGCGAGAAATTGGTATAAGCGTTGTATCGTGCATGTTAAGTTGTGTTGCTGTCTTTTAATGTGACTTCATAGTAAGCCTTTCATTGTTCTCATAAGAACGGCTTTTGAGACGGTTAATGAAGAATTTTGATTAGGAGTTCTACGTTTTTTGATCAAGGACTGTACTATTACTTTAAGATGACTCAAGAGTTTTGTGAACTTGGTGCTGTGTACATAGCTCATGGTTACTGTTTTCAGTGTCTTTTTTTTTCAAAATTTGCCATCTTTAAGATTTCTCAATTTATAGAAAAACAGGTCGTGTTTGTCGTTTACAGGTCTAATAATATTTATCCGCTGGGATGGTGCGAAATGTACGGGCATAAATTGGCAGCTCCGAAGATTGAAGTGAGGAAGAAGGCGAAGTCAAAACGATGATAGTATTTGTGACAGTCGTCTTTTTCTCTTTTAAATGTTGGGAGGGTACTTTGTGCGGGTGTTAATGTACTTAGAACAAATTACTGCTGAAATTACTAATATCTTTTAAGTATTAGATATGATTTAGATGGAGTTTCGTACAGTCATGCTTACTAGCGCTATCTGTAAATGTAGTATATTAATCGTGAAAGTTTAATCTGTGTGCTGTTATCTTTTGAAAGATCTCAACTTATGACGAAATAAATTCTAATTTTTGTACGTTCTTTTCCGATCATTTTTATTGATTGCAGCACTGCTTTGTGGATGATGTAAGAAACTTATTTCATTTACCCATTGTTGGGAGGAGTGATGTAGAAATTAAGTTCTCTGACTGAGCCAGTGTTTCTCATCCCTTTCTAATAAGGTGCATCCAAGTGGACTGGTACTGTTGCTGTCTCTTCCTACAGTTTTTTTTATTTAAATTCCTTGTAGGGTAGCGTCCTTTGGATGCAATCTGAAAGATTCAATTTTTCTGTTGAACTACAGGAAGTGCAGACTTCCTCCTCTACTGAAGCTCACACATTACTGAGTTGAGATGCACCACATCAAACTCATGAACACCGTCGGGGCTCTCCTGTCATGCTATTGTTGCTCGAGTATATTGAGAAGTAGTATAATCTGTGAGTATTAGAGCTGGCCTTGACTAAGTGAGTTTTTATTACATTAAGTAATTAACAACATCTTAGATAACAAACAATACAACAAACAGGTTTCGCGATGAAAACCAGAAAAAGTAGGTTTAATGAGTACTTTTCCTTGTTTATAGGTTGAGGATAGTTTTGTGAACCGCCAAGAATATAAGGTACTCTTTGGAAACCCGCATCTACCTTCCAAACACGGCGAACAAAGCAGTTAACTCAGGATCGTTTACGGAATCTAGCCATTCTTTAAAGTTTCCTTCTTTAGAAAATCTGTCCAGCATCTTCTCCAATTCTTCGACATATTTTTGCTTGGCTTCGTCTTTTGGCATATCACACAAAGCATTCCATGCGTTCCTAAAAACCTACATGGTGAAACGATTGATGAGTAGCAGATCCCGCAAAGAAAATTATCTAATTCGCAAAAATGCACTGCAAGACTGTTTTACCTACGTCGCACTAACGTACAGTCTTGGAGTGATTTGTAATAGAAAGTGAAGTAACTCCTGACCATTTTGAACATTCAGTCAATTCGTAGAACGATGGTTTTGGTTTATTTACATTGCCAACTGTTGCCTGCTTATAAAGTGAATAAAATTTTAGTTTTTCATCGTTAGACGTGGTAAGAGGTCCTAAAACAACGTTAATCAAGTCACCCAAGCGTGATGGTAGTAATTCATAGTTTACCCGATTTTGGTAATTTTTGTACTATCTTTACTGCAGCATCAAATTTCTCGTCTATTGACATCCTGAACAAATTTTTCTGTCCGTAGAACTTTGACCGTTTTGTATCCCTTACAACTGGCTATGCCCTGAAAATTGAATATAATTGCTGTTGTAGAAAGAGAAGGCAAAATTTTCAAAAGCTCACGCAACACTGACCATAAACACAAATAATTCTTCAAGAGGGCTTGTAAGTTCTGCTGTTCCTAAAAAGCGTCTGTTGTTAACACACAGGCTTGTCGCAAAGCACCACTCAAAGTAGGGATATTGCCCTCAAATTTGGTAAAGTTATTGGAAGATGCAGCAGACCGTTGAAATCTGGCGGAAACACTGCTGCACTGCTGCACACAATAGATTTAGACATCAGAATTTTTTTTTTTTTGTTTTGGATTATCTTGCGACATTGCAAATGCTCAAACAACAAATCAGGTTCTGTCCAGCCACTTGCCAGAAGTCTCCGGACAGTACATTAACATTGCTTACTATTCTCTTCAACGATTACTCCAATAAACTGGCCAATAAATGCCACTCTAAACAAAATTTGAGACTGGATGAATATGTAATACAGCCATTGCTTTACGCTCATCCGTCTGTACAAATCTTGGTTCGCTAAAAATTTTAAGTTTGAAAAGTTTCATCTTTAGATAGTCAGTCAGTTAAGAATGATCAAGAGTGTTTTTAGGTTATCTATACTAGG